CCCCTCTCCACCCTGCCCCAGAGGGCACGGCTCAGGGTCCCCTCTCCACCCTGCCCCAGAGGGCACGGCTCAGGGCCCCCTCTCCACCCTGCCCCAGAGGGCACGGCTCAGGGTCCCCTCTCCACCCTGCCCCAGAGGGCACGGCTCAGGGTCCCCTCTCCACCCTGCCCCAGAGGGCACGGCTCAGGGTCCCCTCTCCACCCTGCCTGCCCCAGAGGGCACGGCTCAGAGCCTGCTCAGCAGAACATGCCCACAGAGAGTAGCTGGGGAGGGAGCTCGTGATCCATGCTCAGTCAGCCAGAGGCAGCCCTGAGACTTTGGCTGTCCTGATGATTTAGAAGGGCCCAGGGAGCTGCTGGAGCACGTCTGGGGACCCTGGGACCACAACAGGGGAGTCTGGTGAGGAGAAAAGACATCAAAGAGAGGAGAAGCCAGAAGCAGACACCTGATGTTGGTCAGGCACCTGGATCAAGTCACACCTGAAGGCAGACCATGAATTTTCCATTTACTCTTCTTAATGAAAGCTGTGCCCAGTTTGACTTGGTTTTTCTGTCACTCATACCTAATGGTCTTTTCATCTGCTTCGTATGTGCCACCTTTCTAATAGTCCACTTGTTGGGGTTTTAGGCCCCAAGGCCACAGGGATGGGGACAGGACTGTTGGGTGACCTCCAGCCCCCACACCTGACCTTCTCTCCAAGTTGAAGGAGGAAGAAAGGGGAGGGTTGGACAGATGAAGTGGGTTGTTTACAAACCACAGCCTCCGGGTGCTATTGTGAAATCTGGGGCTGGAAGGACAAGGGTCAGGGGTTGAAGGGACAGGGGTTCAGGGGACAGGCGCTGAGGGTCCATCCCTCCTCTCCTTCTCCCGCCCACCCTAGGGGCCAGCCCCCTGCAGAGTCAGCCAGGCTGTGTGCTCTGGGTCTGGGGAGGGTGAGGTTCCAGAGGGCGAGTTCCCCTTTCCCTGCTGGACGAAGCCCAGCTGGCAGATGGTCAGCTCCGCCCCTCCACCCTCATAAAAGGGCCCAGAGGCCCCTGCCTGGGTCAGTGTTCACACCACCGTGGTGTCATCATGCCAGGCTCTGCGTGCCTGGCGTCTCTGGTCCTCCTGGGGGCCGCAGTGTGTGGTGAGTGGACCTGGGGATGTGCCCAGCCGACGATGGGGAGCCCACCAGGCCTGGGGGAGAACCCTGGAGTTGGGGCCAAGGACTCGCCAGGCACTGGGTCTGGTCTGAGCCGCCTCAGACCGGTGAGGCTGAAATTCTGCAGCGAAAACGAGTCTTTAGTGCCGGCCGGCCAGCCGGCCAGCTGCCAGGGGATAGGGCTGGTCAGCTCCCTTTCCAGGTTAATTCCAAGCCCTCGGGTCCAGGGTGTGGGGCTGGAAGTTGCCTCAGACCCCCTCACTCCGTAGGGCTCTGCCTTGGGCACTCTCTGCTGCTCCTGGGGCCCCACATGCCAGAGATGAGATTTCAGTTGAGGCGTCCATGGGTGCGGGCGTCGGAGGCTGGGCCTCTCTGGGGCGCTGTCCTCCTGTCCTCTCGCCCCCACAGCGGCCCAGCCTCGCGGTCGGATTCTGGGCGGCCGGGAAGCCGAGGCACATGCGCGGCCCTACCTGGCGTCCGTGCAAGTGGACGGCAAACACCGGTGCGGCGGCGTCTTGGTCACCGAGCAGTGGGTGCTGAGCGCTGCGCACTGCCTGGACGACGCGTGAGCAGCCACCGCCCGCGGGCCCAGGGACAGGTTTGCGGGCGGGTTCCGGAAGGGGAGGCCGCGGCACTGACCTGGTCCCGCGCCCCCAGGGCCGAAGGGAAGGTGCAGGTGCTCCTAGGCGCGCACTCACTATCACAGCCCGAACCCTCCAAGCACTGGTACGACGTGCGCCGAGCGGTACCCCACCCGGACAGCAGGCCGGACACCATCGACCACGACCTCCTCCTGCTGCAGGTCGGCGCAGGCCAGCCATGGTCTCTGTTGCTGCGCTGGGACGGTGTCCCACCCCGCTCTGACCCGCTTCCCCATCCCCACTCTAGTCACCTTCTCTCCGGTGGCGCGGAAACCCCACTCCGCTGCGCGCCCCCGTCGCGTCTTAGCCGCATCCTCTCGCTTCGCGCCCGCGCGCGGCCCTGACGTCCACCTCTGCCCCATTCCAGCTGTCGGAAAAGGCGGCACTAGGCCCGGCCGTGCAGCCTTTGGCCCTGCAGCGCGAGGACCGCGACGTGGCGCCCGGCACACTCTGCGACGTGGCCGGCTGGGGCGTGGTCAGCCACGCTGGCCGCCGGCCTGACCGCCTGCAGCACGTGCTCTTGCCGGTGCTGGACCGCGCCACCTGCAACCTGCGCACGTACCACGACGGCGCCATCACCCCTCGAATGATGTGCGCGGAGAGCAACCGCCGCGACAGCTGCAGGGTGCGCGGGAAAGGGCGGGTTAGGAGAGAGGTGGGGTCCGGGACGGGAGTCGAGGGACAGACCCAGGACTGAAGGGCGTACGGGGAGGGAGGAGCGGCAGAAGTGTGGCTGGCGGGTGGGGAGAGTGGAGGGAGGGCGGGCCCACGGCATTCACGCTCCGCCCGCCCTGCAGGGCGACTCCGGAGGTCCGCTGGTGTGCCGGGGAGTGGTCGAGGGTGTGGTCACCTCGGGAGCGCGCGTGTGCGGCAACCGCAAGAAGCCGGGCATCTACACGCGCGTGGCGAGCTACAGGGCCTGGATCGACGGCGTGCTGGCAGAGGGCGCGGAGGCCTGAGCGGGCCCTACGACGAGGGGCACGAGGAGAGGGTAATAAAGAAGTTCGTTTCTATGTCCAGCATCTTTATTGAGCACCTGCCCCCAGGGAGACGCCCAGGGGCGTCCCCCAATCCCGGAGGCTCTTTCAGCACGGAAGCTGTCGGGTGTGGTTCCGGCATCGACCACACGGTGGCGCCCTGGCCCCTCCCGGGAAGCCGAGTGGTGGGGTACCCCTCTCCCACCAGCTCCCATCCGGCCCGCCCTCCGCTTTCCAGCGAAACGTGCAGGGTAGTTCTGTGGCGGTGGCTCAGAGACCGCTACAGTTGTTGCCTCACGACCTGCTGCGTGTCCCAAACGGGAAACAGGCTCAGGGGTCACACAAACTCCAGGAGGAGGCAGGGCTTTGAAGCCGTGGGATGCTGCAGGGCCGCATGATGAAGAAGCTGGGGTGTCCACTGGGGCCCCGTGTAGCTGGCAGCTCTACACAGCCTGCACCTCTAGAGACAACGGGGAGGTGACAGGACAGGACTCGGGCGCAGGCCACCCAGAAGAGCAGTGAGGGAGGCCCACAGCAGCAAGCTAGACATATAAAAGGAAGATCCTATGGTTTCCTTTTTGTTGAAAAGAAGACCCCGGGTCTGAGGGGAAGTCCCGGACCGCGCTGGGAACGGAAGATCATATTGGAATCCGTGTCTTGGCTCACTGATTCTATGGAATGTTCACCCAGGAATTCTAGCCCTACACCAGTATCTGTTGAGCACCTACTGTGTGCCAGCCCTGGGATGGGGGCCAGAGACACAGCCGAGGTCCGGGCCTGCTCCTGAGGGGCTTGGCAAATCCCCCACAGTGTGGCATGTCATTAACGTGGCTGGCCCTGCAGCTGCCCAGCCGTCAACCCAGCCTGGGGTGGCAGCAGGCAGTCCTAGGTCTCCCAGGGAAGCTGCCAGCCTCAGGGGACTTGGGAAGACAATCCCTGGTGACAATGAGAAGGCAGCCCACAGCCTGCAAGCCCCCTCTTGGACACACGCCAAGGGCTGGTGGTCCCAGATTCACTTCCCCTGAACTCCCTTGTACCTTGTGGCGTGGGGCCAGGTGGCCTGGGAGGTCTTACAAAACAGCCCTGGGGCCAGGGGCCTTCAGAGCCCGCCTCTCCTCCCAGCAAGGGAGCACCCCGAGACATGCTGCCACTGCTACAGGCCCTGTTCCCAGTGGCCTGCGGCCACAGGCCTGAATCCCAACACAGACAGGGCCAGCCTGTCCAGCTCTAGACTCCCTGGCACCTTAGTCCCATCCTGCCATCAGTCTTAGCTCATGGACCATTCCAGAAAGAGCCGCGGGGTCAGGCCCCACAGTGCTCTCCCACCCCACCTCCTGGCCGATACTGGGCCAGGTGCCCAGGACAGACAGGCTTGACACAGCAACATGAAATGGCAGTTGTTCATCCAGGGACATCAACTCTCTTGGGCTTAGGGCTCCTGACTGTGGGCAGGGGAGGAGCCAGGAGAGAGGGGGTGGCCCATGCCAGCCCCACCCACTGCACCCAGGCCGCTGCAGGGGACCTGGTATCATGTGCAGGTGTCTGCTGGGCAGCCCAGGCCAGGGAGGATGCCTGCTGGAGGGAGGGGCCGGATGGAGGCCCTGTGGAAGGCCACCCAGATGCAAGTCATCTTGTGGGCTCTGTCCATCAGGCAGTGGCCCGGGCACTGTCGCCCATCCCAGGCCGCACCTTGGCCCAGGAGGCTGTCGCCTCACTCTGGTGGAGGCGGGTGGGGATGGGGTCTGCTGCCCATTCCTGCCCGCCCGGCAGTCCTGCAGCCACGGGTTGCCTAGCACCAGGCTCAGGAACCCCGCCAGGCGAGGGGCAGGCCAGGACCAAGTGCAGACAGCCATGCTGAGTTAGCCGCTGCCCTCCTGGAGCCTTCCAGAAAGAAAACAAGCAAACCAATTATCACTCAGCAGGCAGCATGTCTGCAGGGCCTGCCCACCTAGGGGCAGCTGGCCCAGAGCACATAATGGACAGAAATGTTCCTTGCCAGAAGGCAGACCCCCTGGGGCATGAGGCAGAGCACTGGGAACCAGGGCCTGGGGCTAGCAGCACTAGTGCGGGGGAGGGGCTGGGGAACAGGTGGGCAGAGCCCAAGGCAAGGACACACAGGGATGGAGGCTCCAGGCCTTCCCTCCACCCTCTGCCCCTTCTGGCCAACACAGACACCAGGGCCTGGTGGGCATCCATTTGATGACCGTAAATGCTGGCTGACCTCAGGACAGAGCAAGCGAGATGCCCCAGTGCGGTCCAGGGGCCCACAGTAACAACCGGGCCCGGGGACAGAAGGCCCGGCTCAGCCCTGTCCCAACCTCTGCTTGGAAGGGCCTTCGAGGAACAGGAGGGAAACGGAGGCAGCATGTGGCCTGCAGCAACTGGCTGGTGGCCAGCAAGTCCCCAGGACAGGGCCTGTAGCCCACTAGTCCTGGGGCAGGGGGCAGGCACTCGGGGCGCTGGCTGGGGAGGTGCGGGGTGGGCGGTCCCAGAAGCCAAGGCCTGATGCCCAGGGGCCCGCTGACAGGGGTGAGGGTCCTCGTGCCTCCAACAGCCCCAAAGAGGCAGGGAAGGAAGGGTGTCCAGCTCTAGGGCCCTGTGGGGCCAGCACCATGGAGTCCACCCAGTCTCTACCCAGCCCACAGGGCAGCACTGCTCAGGGGCAGCTGGGGGGTGTCCGCCGCCAGAGCCCCCCACACAGGCAGTTCTTGATCCAGCGCTGCTCCCACTGCTTGACCGCTGTGGTCTTGTTGGGGGACCGGAGCATCGTGACGCAGCCGCACCTGGGGGCAAGCACAGGCCGGCTACAGGGTGCTATAGGGTGCCTGTGGTCGGCCTTCCCAGCAGCCCAAGGCCTGGCCCGTGCCCATAGGTGACCCAAGGGTCCCAGAGCACTTGGACCTACTCTCTGGTCACTTGGTGATACATCATGCTGAAGGCTGTGCTCGCCACCCTGCGGCCAGGCAGGCCCTCCGGAGGCCGCTGGCTGGACGCAGCAGAGCACTTGGACCTACTCTCTGGTCACTTGGTGATACGTCATGCTGAAGGCTGTGCCCGCCACCCTGTGGCCAGGCAGGCCCTCCGGAGGCCGCTGGCTGGACGCAGCAGAGCACTTGGACCTACTCTCTGGTCACTTGGTGATACGTCATGCTGAAGGCTGTGCCCGCCACCCTGCGGCCAGGCAGGCCCTCCGGAGGCCGCTGGCTGGACGCAGCCCCCAAGAGGGAAGCCAGGATGCAGGCCTGGCACTCACCTGGTGCAGGCCTTGCACTCCTCTGTGGGGTAGGCGCCCAGGTGCAGCCGCCGCAGATGGTCCATCTTAGGCTGGCCCGGTGCTCTGGGGACGGGAGGGGAGGCATGAGGGCCAGGGCACAGGGCCAGACTGGGCAGGAGGGTGGGTCCACAGGTGGACAGTGGGTCTCCTCCCACCATCAGGTATCAACCCTGGGACACCAGCTTCTGCCAGCGGCCAAGTGCCCTGAGCACAGGAAACAGGCCAGCACCCGTGGCCTTCCCAAGTGGGTGGCCCTGCACTTGGTGGCAGGGGATGGCACACACACAGGTGGACCACAAGGACACTAGTACACGGGATCAGAAATGGTGACTGCCACCACCCAGAGGCTGTGGCCATTGCTGTCCCCCTCCTTTCCCCTCCTTCAGTGCTGGGGGTTGAACCAGGGCTGGAACTTGTGACCCTCCTGCCTCAGTTTCCCAGGTGACATCACAGGAGCCTGTCACCCTGCATCTGGGGAGACTGAGGCAGGAGAGTCAGAGTCTCGGACCCTCAAGAGGCATCCGCCACGTGACAGGCCTGGGCCCCCTTGGAGTCTAGGCTGGGAGGACGGCTGCCGGGCCATTTGGCACAGACCATCTGGGCTGGGAAGGGCACCGGGAGCCACTGGGGCAAGGGAGTCAGGTGCATGCTGACAAGGACCCGGCTGAGAGGGTCTGAAGCTTGGGCAGGGCACTGGTGGTACCCACAGAGGGCAAGACAGGCAAGGGGGGCAGTGCACACACCTGCCCAGGCAGGCAGGCCACAAAGGCCAGCACCCCGCATGCCACAAGAGCCTGGGAGCAGCACTGCCTGAGGGGCTGAGACGGCCCTTCAAGTGGCTTCTGTGGAGCGGGGTTAAATTCTCTAGAACAGGGGCTGGGGATGTGGCTCAAGTGGTACCGCGCTCGCCTGGCATGCGTGCGGCCCGGGTTCGATCCCCAGCACCACATACAAAGATGTTGTGCCTGCTGAAAACAGAAAATAAATACTAAAAAATTCTTTCTCTCTTTAAAAATAAATAAATAAATAAATAAATAAATAAATTCTCTAGAACAGAGCTCCAGAAGGGACCCTGTGGCAGCCTGCCCAGCACAGCTCCGCCTGCCCCAGCATTGCCCCACACAGACCCCCTCTTTCTCCCAGCCCCACCCTTGCTTTTCCCTGAAACCCAAAGCCAGGCTCCAGACTCCCCCGCCCCAGCACCAGAGGACCACCAAGAGGGCTGGCCAAGCCTGGCAGCTTCCCAGGTGCCACAGCATCGCCTCCCTGTCACGCCCTGGGCTTTGTTTCTATAACTACATATTTTTTATGCTGGAAAAAACCCTCCAATTTTATGTCTATTAAAGAGAAAAGTATGGGGCTGGGGATGTGGCTCAAGCGGTAGCGCGCTCGCCTGGCATGCGTGTGGCCCGGGTTCGATCCTCAGCACCACATACCAACAAAGATGTTGTATCTGCCGAGAACTAAAAAATAAATATTAAAAAAAAAAATAAAGAGAAAAGTAGGGCTCCATCTGCAAGACACTGACATCACCGACAACCCGTCAATCTGTGCTGCTTCCTGTCGAGTCCTAGGACATACCTGTGTCCTGCCTGGCCAGCGGGGCAGCAGGAGCCGCCCTGTCCACCCCCATGCTGCTCAGTCCCCAGCACTATTGCTCAGGGAGCCTCACAGCTTCCACGGTGACCAGGACTTGGGTGGGGCCTCTGAGTGGTCTGGGTTCCCACCCAGACTTCAGAGGCTTGGTCCTCTCACCTACTCATGGAGTCAGGAGGCCCCCTGGGTGCCACTGCCCAGGACAGGGCTGGCTCAGCACCAGGCTGGACCCCACACACTCCAGAGGCCAGCCAGGGTGGCATCCTGCACACAGCGAGATGGCCAGCCCAAGAGGGGTGCAAGGGTGTGAGCGGGCTGGGGAGGCCCCCTGGAAGTGGCGGGCAGGGCTGCCACTCACCTGGCGAGGCTGTCCAGCTGCAAAGTGGTGGCACTGCCTGGCAGCGTGGGTGCCCTGCCGAAGTACAGGCGCAGGGGCTGCTTGGGCTGCAGGCGGCTGACCAGACCATCGCTGACGGGCAGCCAGTCCAGGCTGGGGACCAGCAGCTGGCTGGGAAGCAGGCAGCACTCGTCCACTAGTGCCTCATCTGGCTCGCTAGATGGGCCCTCGTCTCGGCCTGTGGGGAAGTGGTCTCAGTGACCGGTTGGCCCACAAGGCCCAAGGGACATTCAGGGTGACCTGGAAAGCTCCTTCGTGCCCCTGGCCTCACTAGCCTTTGTGGGGCAGGGACTGCCAAGTACCCTCCAAAGAACTCTTCTGCAAGCACCAGTGCCCTTCCCAGGCACCGGGAGCAGAACCAGTACAGCACCTGATGGCTGGCGCCAAGGGCTGCCCGGCCCAACTGGACCTGACAGGGCTGGGCTGGCTACCCGAGGGACTCAAGGCGCCTTTCTGCCTACAGGAGCTTGTACTCCAGCAGAGCATCTCAACTAGGGATGGGACTTTGGTAGGGAGACAGGACTAGTAGCTGGGGGTGCCTCACAACAGATCCAGAGCTTGGTGAGCAGGCGGAAGAGCAGGGACATGCTGTCCTGGGTGTCCGAGGTGGCTGTGTACACGGGCAGGCAGCTGGGCTTCAGCAGGCCCCAGATGCGAATGACCACCATCAGCTCCCGCAGCATGCCCAGTGAGGTACCATCCCGCAGGAAGCTGTGGCCTGGCCGCAGTGGGGAGCCCTGCGGACAGAGGTACTGGGTGTAACCACCAGACCTGTGCATCCCCAGTAGGCAGTGGGGCCCCTGAGGCCCCTGAGCAGCGTGGCTGTAGAGACGAGCAGGTGAGGCTACTGGGCACCCACCCGAGAGCGACCAGCCCCGGTGCCCACTGTGCTGAGCAGGAGCCCCGAGGAGGCAGACCCCACAGAGGAGCCAGCGCTGGGCTTCCTGGGGAGCCTGATGCCTTGCTGGGGAGGGGAAGGTAGGCTCCTCAACCTGTAGGTGGTTACAGCACCCCAGGGCAGGGAGGCCTCCCGCTGTGCTCCCCTGCAGTGAGGGCAGAGCCCCCAAATCCACAGGGCAGCAGCTGCAGGCGACTAGCTGGGGCTTGGACTGTTGAAGCCCAAAGGACACCAGGAGTTAGTTGGGATTAGGGTGCTGGAGGATGAGGAGACTAGGGAGGAGCAAAGGGAAGAAAAGTTGGAAAAGTTGGGTTGGAGCTGCGGCTTGGAGGAGGGGAGGCAGAGGCGGGGCTTGGAGGAGGCGGGGCTTGGGGGAGGGGAGGCAGAGGCGGGGCTTGGAGGAGGCGGGGCTTGGGCGTGGTTGGGGAGGAGGCGGGGCTTGGGGGAGGGAAGAGGTGACCTGGACGTGGGGCTCCACATACCTGGTTGGGCAGGCTAGCCAGGAGATAAAGCACAAAGTCGCCGACCCACTGCAGAAGCTGCTGCAGCGCCTGCAGCGTGTTCATGTCTAGGACAAACTCTTCAGTCTTGAGGTTGATCATAACCTTGTCGATGTCTAAAAAGAACAAGGTCAGAGCAGTCAGGGTGGCCAGGTCCTCATGAGTGCACGCTTCGCCTGCTACCATTCAGGCCCTGCACCCTGCACAGACTGAGCACCCACTGCTCTGGCCCTGGTAGGAGCCCATGCCAACATGGACATGCAATGCAGCACAGCAGGGGCTTCAAGGAGGCGGGCTGGAGAGGGGCCAGCACCAGCTGCCTGCCCACTTGTGCCGCCTCTCAGCTGCTCTTGGCCTCCACATACTTGGGACATTGCAAATGCAACCTGGCCCTGTGGGGAACATCATCTGGGCTCACAGTCAGGGCCACCAGCAAGGGAGGCGTCCACCTGGTCAGTGGTGGCCTAGTACCTATTTACACCCCACAGGTGTTTCTCAGGTGGGTCCTAGGGTGACAGGACTCCCTCTGTCAGGAAGGACTGGCCATGAGCAGACCAGGACAATCACAGCCACTCTGCACGAAGCAGCAGGGGTTGCTGGCTAACCTACTGTGCCCCTGCAGAGGGATCACTGAACAGTCACCACAAGGTACTGTAGAATGACACCAGGAGCCAGGCATGGTGGTCACACCCGTTATCCCAGTGTCTCAGGAGGCTGAGCAGGAGGATAACAAGTTCAAGGTCAGCCTCAACAATTTAGCAAGACTGTCTTGAAATATAAAACAGAAAGGGCTGGGATGTGGCTCAGCGGCCAAGCACCCCTGGGTTCAGTCCCTGGTATCAATAACACTGATAATACCAGGAGGAAAAGCCTCTTTTCCACTTCTTACCATATCTGTAGTGTGAGCTTGTGTGATGCACTGGCACCTGGGGGCTGGTGTGTGCATGGGGTTCCTGGGGTTGCCACTCACAGAAAAAGGCCTGACTGCAGAGTCCAGGCCTGGGTATCGCCATGTGGAAAGGTGGCGGGCAGGAGACAGTGCCCTCATCCCCTAGGGAGGCCTGGGAGACAGAGGCTGCTGGGGCAGTTGGTCATACCTCTGTGCCACCACATTACAACAGCAGCCCCTTCCCTGCTTGGTGGTGACCCTGACTTGCCACAGGGTGATGGGGAACTTGTCTTCTAGGTAGTTCCAATTTCCTCTGAGGGCCACATGGCCACACATACTGTGTACTCAGCAGTAAGTCAGAAACCTGATTGTTTGGGGCAGTCCTGGGTGTGGAATCCCAGGCCCTGTGCTCACCAGGATCTACTGCTGAGCCCCACTGAGCCCCAGCCCTGGCCTGGGAAGCCTGGAGTTTTAGAAGGGAAATGTTAGCTGGGTGCATGGCACAGACCTGTCATCCCAGCAACTCAAGAGGCTGAGGCTGGAGGATCTCAAGTTCAAGACTAGCTTCATCAACTTAGCAAGACTGTCTCAAAAATAAAAATAAAAATGGCTGGGATGAAGCTCAGTGGTGAGCCCTCCTGGGTTCCATCCCCAGCAACACACACACACAAGCACATCTGCTGTTCCTTGGCAAGTACCTCTCACTGGGTTTTGTCTAAACTTTCCACCAAGAACCTGAATACTGTTACCAATGAGAAACAAAACAGGCCACAGGCCCTGCCCCAGAGTCTCACCCACCGACGTCAGTGATCTTGGCACAGATCTCGGTGAGCCGGTCGCCAGGGCTCTTATCAGGGGTGTTGAGGAAATGTGGACACAGCAGAGACTTGAGCGTGGAGCTGACAGCCATCAGAAAAAGCTTTGTGTGGTAGTCGCACACGCGTGTCACCGTACACGGCGAGAGCCTGCAGAGTGAGGCCTTCATGGCCAGGATCCGGGTGGAGAGCACCTGGGGAACGTGGGCAGGAGGGCAGGTGGGCTGAGGATCCCACCTGGGCCTGGGGTGGACACACCCCAGAGCAAGCCAGTTGGCAGGCTGGAGCACCTCGCCTTGCCCACTAGCCTTTCTGGGCCTCACTCCCCTCAAGGCCAACTGAACAGTAGGAGGACCTGCCTCACGGGGTCGGCCTGGGACAGTTCTGTCCCCAGTGGGCACTCAGCGGTGGTTATGACAGGGCATGGTTCCAGCAACAAGTGGGCGAAGCCAGGTTCACTGCTCGACAGGAGACTCAGTGGCAAGGAAGAGACCCCCGAGGGGGAGCAGAGTCAAAGTACCCAAGTGCTTGGCACACTGGCGAGTGAGCGGTCAGCTGCTGGCCAGTCTCCAGTGCCACCCGACGTCTGGGTTCCATCCCCGCTTCCTCCACTCTGTTTTGGTGCTGGGATGGAACCCAGGGCTGTGTGGACCAGCCACAAGATGCCCTCCGGCCCCAGCCTCCAAGACAACCTGACCCGCTTCCCACCAGATCCTGCTGCGAGGGGGACCCTGCTGACCTTCTCTGGTTACTACTGGGCTAAAGAAGACCAGGATGTTTTTCTTGGTGCTGGGGATGAAACCCAGGGCCTCCTGCACGACAGGACTGACTGCCCCGCTGCCCCCCTGGGCTCTGGTGAGACCACAGCCTCCTGCTCCAAGCTTCCCCACTCCTCCTGTGGCCACGTCTGAGGTGGCCAATGGCACACCTGGGACCTGGTGAGTTCTGGGGGAGGTCCGGAGACCCGGCTGTGAGCAGGGTCAGGAGGGAGGTCCAAGAAGGCTCACGACCTACTTGCAGTGTTTCACTTTCACAAGAAACTTGTGAAGGGCCGGGGTATAGCTCAGGCAGAGCCCAGGCCCTGGATCCAAACACCAGACCCCACACCAAAAAAGCCCCCAAACTAAGGAGGAGGGCCACAGAGCTCTCCCCAGGTGCAGGGCCCCACAGCACCCCATCTATAGCACCTCACCTGCCTTGAACTGCAGACGCAGCCTCACTGCCCCAGGCGAGGCCCCCCAGTGACCTGCCCCAGGTGAGCCCCACTCGTGCCTCAGGGAGCCCACCTGCTGCAGGGCTGCGCTCTGGCGTGTGTACTCCTCATGCAGCTTCTCCACCAGGCTCTGCACCATGCCGGGCTGCACGTGCAGCAGGATGTCCCACCAGTCGTAGCCCGTCACCATGCAGTACTCGAGCAGGAACAGCAGGTGCCGCAGGGCCAGGGACACCTCCAGCGCGTGGCCCATGGAGGGCGAGATGCGCAGCATGCTTAGCTGCCAGGAGGGACAGGAGGGGACAGGGAGGGTCGGCCTGCGCCTTCCAGGCTGGGCTGCAGGCAGCGGGGGTGTGGCTCACCCTGGCCACCCCACACTCCACGCCCGGCAGGCTGGCCTCAGCCAGGCGCTCCTTCGAGGCTGCTGAAGCCTGGGGCCCAGCTGGATGTCCAGGAGGCTCCCAGACCTCTCTGAGCTGAGCACACACTCGTCTTGGGTGGGGGCCCGATGCCTGCCAGGCTTGGGGGCACCACGGGACCCTGAGGCCTCGGGACAGGCAGTCTGACCGCTTCTGCTCCCTGGGTGCCCACTATGTGCCCACACTAGGCTGGGGCCTTTTCCAGGTCACCTGATGATGGGGCAGCGCCGGCCGGAGGCTGAAGGACTTGCCAGCAATGGTGAGGAGAACAGCAAGGGGACCCACCCCTGTGTCCCTGGTGCTCTGGTCATCACGTCCCCAGCTCTGCAGACATCCTGAGGGCACTTACCTTCCCGTGGTTGTCGATGCCCACGAGGGCCAGGGAAGTCCAGGACAGCTGCATGGCCTTGAAGTGCACTGCAGGGCCTGTGGTGCGAGGGCGCTTGATGGCCGGCTCGTCCACAGAGCGCGGGGTCGCGGAGCTGTAGAAGACCACCATGGTCTGCAGCGAGAGGCGGTGCACTATGTGGACGCTGCCGTCGTGGAAGGCCAAGGCCAGCCCTGGGGACACAGGTGGCATCAGGTACACAAGGGCAAGGAGCCAGGAACTGGGCTGAGAGCTGCTACTGGTGTCCAGCCTCCCCCTGGCAGCTGCTCTCCCCACCTCTTGCTACTAAATCCCAAGAGTCAGGCTTCGGGCTCGAGCCCTGAGGCCCTGGGCCAGGTAGCACCTGGGCTGGCGTGGCTGGCAGCGCCTTCCAGGGACAAGGCAGGAAGCCTCCACTAGATGGGACTTGGGAGCTCCTGGACCTGCAGGAACCAGACACAGAGCCTCGTGGAGGTCCCTGGAGCCCTGGAGGGAGCCGTCCATGGTGGAGGCCAGCTGGGGCCCTCCGTGCCCGTCACCTGCAGCTGTCTTAGGGAAACCAGAGGTTTGCCCACAGCCAGTCCTGGCCCTGCCCATCAGGAGGGCAGGCAGTTCCACACCCATAGGCTTATAGATAAGAGCCGACAATAGGGTCCTGGAGGTGGCATGGATGGAAAACAAAGATTCTGTCTGTACTCTCAGGTCTAAATAAAAGGCCGTGAGACTGATGCAGAAATTATCATGGTTACTATCTTTGGAACTGGGGATAGAACTGATTCTACCACACCATTTCGGTATTTGTTTTAGAACAGGATCTGGCAAAATCGCACAGGCTGGCCTTGAACTTGCCATGCTCCTGCTCCACCTCCCGCGTTCCGGAACAACTGGCGCGGCCACCATGTGCAGCAACCAGTGCAAACTGTGGTAAGTGCTCTTCTTCCCAGCCAATTGGAAAACAGAAGGAGCTGGTGGGCAGGTCTTCACCTCAGAGCTGAGCACACGGGCTTGTGCTGGATAGTGAGCCCAACTGCTTGGGGGCAGGCCCACAGGTGTGTACCCACAAGCACAAGCAGGCTTGCTAGTGTGGCTGGTCTGGCCTGGGACTTGCCTGCCCCCCGCCCCGTCACGGGCTGATCCTCAACGTCAGATGCCCCACACACTAGCAGTGCAGGCTCAGCCAGAGCCTCCAGCCACTGAGCGCTCAGACCCTGCCACCCTGCCGTGGGCTGGCCTCTCCAGGGAGCAGAGCCAGGAGGCCAGGCTCCCCCAGACCCTCCCAAGCTCAGCATACCAAGGCCGGGGTAGAACTGGGTGTCGCTGGCCACCTTGAGGTCAGTGTTGGTGAGAGAGATGGGCAGCTTGGGCAGTGCCACAGCCGACACACGGTCCAGGTCATTGGTGGCTGACAGGATCCGCCACTTGAGGATCATGGGCTGTTTGTCACCAACTGGAGCATTTGGGGGTGGGAAAGTGGAGGAGGAAAGTTGAGACCCGAGGAAGCACATCCAAGCAGGTCCAAGGCCTGGATTCTGCCCAGACAGGATGCACTTCTGAGACTCACACAAGGACGCACAGCTGGTGGTGGGGACACGCACCTGTCCCCAGATGGGACTGACCCAGCAGAAAAGCTGACCACCACCCCAGAGCCGGGCACAGACCAGCCGAGCTGGGTCTTTTGCTCCTCGACGCTGTGGGACCAGAACACGCCACGGAGCCCACCACCCTCCAGGGCAGTGCCCCAGGGACTGGAGGCCTGGGGCTGGGAGAGTCAGGAGCCCAGGACAGTCACTGGTCACAGACTCGGCGAGGGGACAGGAGACCACAAGGCTACACAAGGGACCCAGTCCTCCTGTATCCAGGGCCCCCATCCCACTGGACTGCACGGTATGTCTGGCCCTGACCTCTGAACCGCCCCAGGCTGGTGGGGAGTTCAGGCCAGCACTGTACCCAGGGAGTGGCTAGGCCCAGGGTGGCCAAGACCGCCAGAGGTCAGTCTACCTGTGGCCGTCCACCCTGTGGAATGTCACCTCGTGCTGGAAGACCTGCCTGCTCCCCAGGTGCTAGCCATGGTCCCTAGTCTAAACCAAAGGGCACAGCTGGAAGGGGCTGAGCCACCTGTCCCCCCAGTCCCCATTCTGGTCTGCCCTGAGCCAGGATAGCCTGGGCCATGGGCTGGACTGCAGCAGGTGATGAGGACGAGTGGGACCTCAGGGCCGCAGGAAAGAGGGACAGGACAGCAGGCAGGCCCGCTGTGGGAGGTGCCTCGGGCACAGGGCTGCAGGTCTGCCTGGCCTGGCTGCAAGTGCCCCACAGGGCTGCTTGGAGGACAAGGGGCAGGAGGGCGCGGGGCCAGCTCAGTCTGCCAGAGGCCCAGCATGGCCCTGGTAGCCCTGCCTGCCAGGCAACGTGGTGTCAGCCACTGCCCAAGTGCCCAGGCTGCCTGCGCCCTCAGACACCCGGCCACAGCAAGGAGTCACATGACCACCTCCCAGACTGGCAGGAGCCGGGATGGCCTCATTAGCAGCTTCTGCTCGGCACACTCAAGGATGACCACTCTAGGGTCCACTAAGGCCCACGGGTATGCATCTCCCTCCAGGGCAGGTGAGCCTGGAACCCAGGGCTGACTGGGTGGGTGGTATGGACATCCATGGCTCCCCGGGCAGGGCCCAGGCAGGAGGCTGGGTCGCGTGTCCTGGACAAACAGCAAGCCCAAGCCTCGGCACACCAGGGTCTCTGGAAGATTCCATGACGTTCAGAACACAGTCTCCTGTGGCTACAGGCCCGTGTATGCTGCTCCTCTGCCCTGCGCCTGTTCCTGCCCACCCCCACATCCCCCAGGACCTCTGCACTCCGCGTCCTGAGACCAGGTGCCCACTGCCTCTGCAGGAAGGGTGGACAGCTCTGCCTCTTAGCCTGTTTCCTTCCCCAGAGACCAGGATGAAGGCCCCTGCCTCGAGGTGGCGCGAGAGGACAGAGTTGAGGGCTGGGAAAGGCCCAGGCCAGACCTGCCCAGGGCCCGAGAAGACTCACCAGCGGGAGAGATCTGCTGAAAGATGTTGTTCACGGGGAGCCCCTCCTTGCGCAAGGACCAGCACTCCACGAGGCTGCTCGTCGGGCTGGACGCACACAGGAGCACCTGGGGTGTGGCGGGGTCAGGCACGGGGACAGGCCTTCCGAGTGTCCCTCCCAACCCCGGAACCTCACAGGCCTGTGAACTGGGCCCACACCCTGGAGCGAGGCCGCACAGCACAGGACCTCCCTGAGGAGGGCACAGGGAACCACACAGGGGCTTCCAGACTTTTGGGGCCCACAGGGAATTCAGGTGACCTGGGGGATCAAAGACACGCAGTCCTCGTCCCTGGGGCCTGTGCTGTGTTGCTTCCTGGGGCAGAGGGGCCCTGAGCAGGGGTCACCCAGGGTCACCACAGGGACCTCCTGAGAGGAGGCAGAAGGGTAGGAATCAGGGAGCCCGGAAGACACTGTGCTGCTGGCTCTGGGGCTGGGGAGGGGACCAGGACTGTCCTTCCCTGGGCCTCAGCAGCTGAAAGAGGGGGATGAGGACTCTTCCTGGGCTCACAAGACCTGGAGGAGGGGGACCAGGACTCTCCTTGGGAGACCCGGTCTGCTGCACCGACATCTGGGCAAGAAGGCCCCAGGCGGCTCCGGACTCAACCCGAGGGAAAGACCCATGCTGCTTATGCCAGTGAGCACGGTGGCGGCTCCTCACCTGCTCGGACATGTCCCGGGCCAGGAACTTGAGGTGGGTGATGGCGGGGAACTTGTCCTTGCGACTGAGGTCCGTGGTACAGCGCATGAAGAGCGAGGGCAGGATCTCTGTGTCAATGCGGCACTTCTCGCTGACCACGCTCACGCACACCTTGTAGAACTGCACAGGCGAGGCACTACTGCCGTCTGCGGTGGCTACCACAATGTTGCCACCGCCCGTGAAGGCGATGTCAGCCAGGGCCACGCGGCCACGCAGCCGGCACAGGCTCTCGGTGGACGTCAACACCTGCCCGCTGGGTTTGAGCAGGGACACTGTGACCAGGCCGCTGACGGTCACTGCGATCCAGCCCTCCATGGGCTTGCCACCAAACAGCGTGAGTGACGGCGAGAACTTGACGCGGGAGAACTTCTCACCGAAGCTAGAGGCACCTGACTGTAAGGGAGAGGAGAAAGGCCTGCTCAGCCTGGGGTCTGCCTTTCCTGACCCGACAAGCCCCTCTGGTCACTGCACCCACAGAAACACCAGCACACTGGAAGGTGGCCAGAGTCCCCGGGCCTGAGCCCGCTGCTGCCTAGCCACGGGAGCACTGCATGATATGGACCTCTCTGAGCCTCACTGTCCTCTGCTGCTGACAGAAGCAGAACAAGTCTTTGGAGAACCGCTGTGGGGAGGAAACAGGTGAATGTACACACAGGGTCATGACTTTTCTCTGTAAAAGGCCAGACAGTCCCTGCTGCAGCCCCCGGGCTGTTTCTGCCTGTGTCGGGCAGAAAAAGCCACAGACAGAGACACTGTCCACAAACAGGCGTGGCTGTGTGCCAGCAAAGCTTCATCTAGACAGGCAGGTAGGGAGCCCAGCACAGTGGCACCTCCTGCTACCCCAGCCACTCAGGAGGCGGAGCAGGAGGATCCCAAGTCCAAGGCCAGGCTGGGCAACGTAGCAAGACCCTGTCTCAAAATAAAATAAGAATTTTCCAAAAAGGGCTGGGGATGCAGCTCAGTGGTAGACTGCTTGCCTGTGATGTGTAAGGCCCTGGGTTCAATTCCTAGTACTGCAAATAAAAGAAAGAAAGAGAGTTCACAGGTCACCAGGTACAACCAGTCCACGTGTGGTCCACAGCCCCGGGCATACCACCTGTACTGGTAGGACATCCGCCTTCTGGCTCGGGCGGTGTGCTCTGGGAACCGTGGGCCCTGGGTGCAGCAGGACTCCAGGTCAGGTGGCCAGTCTGCCCATAGGATACACTAAGGCAGGTGACCCACGTGAGGATGGCCCCAGCTGCAGCGTGGCTGGGCCTGAGGACCTGGTGAGACTCAGTGAGACCCAGACATACAAGTCACAGTGACCCAGGGACAGGAGAGTCAAGGACAGCAAAGTTTAGAGATGGATCTGGGTGCAGGGCTGGGGAGGGCTGGGGCTGCTTGAGGGGGCAGGGTTACCTGGTGGGAGGCAGAATGTTCTGGAATCAGAGGGAATGGAAGCCCTTTGTGGAAACATGAAACACCTCTGGACTTTACGTTTTACACAGGTGAGTCACGGACTGTGAGGATCGGGTCTCAACAAAACTTTTCTAAACAGGTCAAAGAGGTCTTGAACGTCTTGCGGAGGCTGCACAGGCGCAGCCAGGACAGACTCAGGAAGCGGCAGGGCACAGGCCCTGGTCAACCTCCTCATCATGTCCCCAGGACGATCCCGCCCACCAGGAGGCAACTTGCACAGAAGCCTGGAGCGAGCAATGACGAGAACGTCCCGGGCCCCAGCGGCCCCACTCCTGACTGGCTTCAGCACAGAATACAGAATTCAGAACGTCACTGGTCAAAGGTCAAGGGTGGGCTGGGCTTTCGGGACATGGCTATCCGGGAAGTGGGTGGCTCACTGAGGACAGCGGCCATTGGCTAACAAGCAGCCTGCTGAGGACCCGGGCTGCAGGCTCAGCACACACCAGGTTGGAGCACAGGGGCTGGCGCTGCTCATTCGCTCAGGACACCCACCTTCTCCACGTGCAGCGCCAGCTTCACACCATTGTGCAGCCAGGACAGGGCCACGATGGGGTCCCCCTCCACCATGCTGCCCAGGCAGCTCTCCCAGCTGTTGGCCAGGTGGTCCGCCATGCTCCAGCACTTGATCTGCCCGTCGGCATCAGCGGAGAGGAGCCGGGAGCCTGTGGGAACAGGGCGTCAGGAGCCCTCCACAGCGACAAGGGTTCGAGAAGGCAGAGCTGAGCAGCCGGGCCCACAGTCAGGGCACAGAAGGCCTGTGGGAAGAGTGGTAGATACTCTGGGACCGGCCGGGCCAGCAGTGCCCCCTCCCTGGTGCTCACCTGACTGGTCCCACTCCAGGCAGGTGATGGCCTCGCGGTGCTGGGAGCTGATGGAGTGCACATCCCAGGGGTGCTCCGTGTCCAGGATGTGAATCGTGCGGGTCAGGTCTGAGGGTGAGAGCAGGAGGGGCAGGTCTCACTTGGCCTCCTCCAGCCAGCAGCCAGCTTCCGGGACCTGTGGCCTGGGGCTGGGTGGAGACCCTGTGGGGAACCCCAGAGAACTGGACGGGAAACATAGGACCACAGGAGCTAGCAGTGGGGTCTCGCGTCCAAAGTACTAGGTGGCTCTTTTTCAATGCCCTGAACCCGTGCTTCTGTGACTTGCCCCCACAAGAGCACATGGCCACAACAGACAGTGGGGGAAAGTCACCACACACCTCAGAAGCTATCCACAGCCATGTCAGGACACTCGGCCCAGAACCAGGCTGAGTGTCCTACAAGTGTCCTTCAGTGATCCCAGCCCAAGTTCCGTCCTTCCACCCATGGGGGAGGGCAGCTCCTGCACCAGGTGTGGCACCAATAACCCTCTGGACCCCAAGCGCAGACTATCGCAGGGCAGGGGAAGGGCTCTCTGCCAGGTCTGGTCAGCAGAGAGCCTGAGGCAATGTGCTGGGAGCAAGGGTGACAGTGTGCAGGGGGCGCACCCTGGTCATCGCTGCGGAGGTCCGTGGTGAAGGCAATGAGGTTGCGGCAGGACCAGGCACAGGCCAGGGGCACTGATGGGCAGTGGGTGCTCTTGGGCCACTTCTCCCACTCACAGACGTAGGCCAGGTCCATCGTGCCACTCACTGCTCCTGCAGAAGGGAGGTCGGGCTTGCCAAGGGCTCCAACTGAGTGGTTCTGGGACTGAGGTGGCCAGGTCCCTGAACTTGGCTTCAACGTGAGCACCGGAGGAATGTAATTCTCCGTTTTATTCAGACAGGATCTCTATGCTGCCCAGGCTAGTCTCAAACCCCTGGGCTCTAGTGAGCCTTCTGCCTCAGCTTCTCCCCCAGTAGTGACAGGTGTGCAGCAGCACCTGGCTTAGGACTCAGGTTTCAACAGCAAGGTAGGCCTCCTGGGGAAGCAGTACCTGAGTGAGGCACACCAGAGGGAGGAGGGTTCAGCTGGCAGGAGTAGCCAGGGCAAAGGCCCTGGGGCTGGATCACACCTTAGGGATGAGAGCAGGAGAGCAGGGGGCTGCTCCTGGGCCTATGTAGGTTTCAACATGCCCACAGGGGCCTTCTAGGGGCAGACTTGGAGGCCCAAGGTGCAGCCCTGGACTGGTCGGGTGACTGGACTGGTCCAGGTAAGCAAGGACAGGGGTGTAGACACTGAGAAGTGAGTGGACCTGTGTCTGTAAAGGCTGACCCAGGGGCGCACGAGCTGGGCGAGGGGCTGGGCAGCCGAGCCAGCGCTCCGAGGCTCGGCCGTGCCTGGCACCCGCGGTGGAGCCCAGGAGAGCGGAGTGACCACCACCCCATTTTCCTCTAGCGCTCCCTCGGCTCCACCGAGATGCACCCACACACCCTTAACAGTCTTGCAGCCCTGCCCCCAACTCCATTTGACTTCGGGCCCGGGAACCGGCCGGCGCCCCCTCGGGATGCGAGGACCGCGCCCCCGTGGCATCGTGGACCCCGCCCCAGAGTTCCCCCGCAGCTCGGGGACCTAGCACCCTTCACCTCCAGCCCGCCCTCTGACCCCGCAGGCCCCGCCCCCGACCTCCAGGCTCCGCCGGCCCCCAGCTACCTGCGCCCACCGGCTTCCGCTCCGCCCGCCTCACGCTACGTGCGGCCGCCCGCCGCCGGCTCCAGGCACTCAAGAGCGCTTCGCAGAGACTTCTGGGACGGCGAAGGCTCTGGCTCCGCCCCGCTTCCGGGTTATTTGCATAAGGCAATTCCTAGTAGGCCTTGTGCTGAATTTAGTCCGAAAAATTTTATATTTAGTTAAAAAAAGATATTTTGTCATATATTGACCATAATTTCATTTCGTTGCGCTGGTTTCGATGTAATATACTAAAAAGATTGAATAATTGTTAAGATTATTTTAGGAATATTCACCTTCACTGTAAAGTGTTTGAATATCTGCCCTATAAATACCGAAATGGAGAGGGAGCTGGTCGTGCTCGCTTCGGCAGCACATATACTAAAATTGGAACGATACAGAGAAGATTAGCATGGCCCCTGCGCAAGGATGACACGCAAATTCGTGAAGCGTTCCATATTTTTGGTGCCTAGGATTCAGGGGCAGGGAACCCGGAGCTCCCTTACTGGCAGTCTCAGCTCTTCCCATTCCTTTTCTGTCTCGGTGGGGAACCCGAGGCTCCGTTGGAGGTCCCGGTGGGGAACCCGTTAAGCCGGGTGACATCTTAAAGTGAAGCTCTGGCACCCTCAAGCCTCATCTCAGCAGGACCATCCGGATGTGGCCAAGCCTGGAGGGCAGCGAAGAACCGCCCGAGCTGCGGCCACGGCGGCGCTCCAGCCCGCGCTGGCCCGGGCCGAGTTCCCCGGCGCTTCCGACCCTTCACTGGAGGGTTCGCAGTGCGACCTGCGCGGGCTTCCTGCCCGAGGCCCCGGGCGAGGGGCGCGCTCCCGGAGCCCCGCGGGAGCTTCTCCAGGACGCCAGGGGTGTCGATCACCCCGCAGGGCAGAAGGCCGGCGTCCGGCGAGCGGCGACCAGCGGCGACGACCTAGGGCCAGGCCAGCCTGGGCGAGACCCGCTGCCCCCCTCCGTCCGGGCAAGGAGAGCTCGGCGGGGGCAGCTCCCCGGGAGAAGTGCGCGTCCCGCAGGCCACCGACTCGGCGGGAGCCCGGGCCCGCACCATCCGCAGGATTCCCGCGGTCCCCAGCATCGGCCACACATCCCAAACGCTCCTCCCGCGACCTGGGCTCATCAAAGGAAGGACAGCGCCCAGGGAGAGGGGGAGTGCCCTGGGGACCCTGGGGATCCCTCCACGGTGCACCAGCACGGGCCACCTGCCGCCCTAACGCCGCGCGGGGCCAACTCTGCCTCAATTTCTGAAATGTCGCAGACATTTGAGCTCATCCAAAACAGTGGTCCAGACATCAGACGCTGCCCAGGACCAGGGTCCAGTTCCCCAATGAGGTTTAGAGAGATTGCAGATAGCCCCCATGACTGGGCCAGGGCATATGAGGCGCTTGGGTGAAGAGCCTCAGGTCTGAAATTCCCTCCCACACATCTGGAAAAAATAGAAATGGAGATGGGTTTGGGGCCCCCTCCTTCTGGAGGCTGAGGTAGGAGGATGGCCAGTTGCAGGCCAGTCTCTGCAACATAGCAAGATGCTGTCTCAAAGTAATAAAAAGGACTGGGGATGCGGCTCACTGATAAAGCACCCCTCCATTAAATCCCTGGTACCCCAAAGAAAGAATAAAAGAAGTTGGGGGGAAATGCTAAATTATAATCAGAAACAAGAAGCAAGAGATCTTCCATAAAGGAGCAAGCTACCTCACAGGGACCAGTTCACCTACTTCAGGTTCTGACCTGTTTCTCAGACAGGGAAACCGAGGCACAATTAAGTGCTGTAATAGGCTGAATTGGGTCCCCCCAAAAGGCATATGGAAGTCCTAGCCCCACAACTTCAGGGTTTGACTTGATGGAAGTGGGTCCTTACAGAAGCACAGGTTAAACCGTAGTGGTGAGAGGGCCTTAACTCCTGTGGCCAGTGTCCATGCCAAACATGTAGGTTTGGACCCAGACACGCGGAGGGGAGACCCTGTGAAGACACTCTGGGAGGAGCCTGCCAGAGCCAAGGCAGGCGGGCGACGCAGCCACCAGCCACCGATCCAGGAGAGGCCGCCTCTGGGGCAGCTGCCGGCACACACTCGACCTGACCCAGGCCCCAGGGAGGAGACACTCTGGGACCCACAGTTCTCCATCACTGCAGCTGCAGGACATGCATACAGTGACTCACCTGAGGCCACGCAGCTGGCACCAGTGGGCACAGCCAGCATGGCAGAGCGCTGACGGCTAGCGGTGTCTCAGAGAACACGGGCAGTATGTCTCACCACAGAGCCTGGGTGAGGCCTGAACCCTCTGACCAGGACCTTAAAAGACACCATTCAGCCTGCAGCCAGAGCACCAGAAATTTATTAAACACTCCCCTGTCCTCCAAGCACAACCAGCCACGCACAGGCACACAGGAGGGCAGGGCCCACCAGCATGAGGATACTCTGGACCCCTGGGCCAGAGCCAGGCTAGGGCAGAGGATGCTGGGTCACAGAGGGACGGGGTAGCTGAGGACAGCGGCTTCTGGCTGGAAGTCCTGGATCCCTAGTATAAAGGGGAGGGCGGGACGGGACAGGACACAGACATATCAGGAAGCATAAAACCAGCCCTTGAGATGCAGCGGTGTCCTGGGGTGCAGGGCCCAAACATGCGTGCGCACACTCTCACACACACACACACACACACACACACACAGAGAAAATGCTCCTGGGGTGACGGGCAGAGAGCCACCCCCACCCCCACCCCCCACCAAAGAGCTAAAAACTAGGAAAAGTCAAGCAAAGGCTGTGACCAAGCCCACTATTTACCAGGTGGGACAAGTGTTTTTGTTTTTTTCTTCAAAAAGGAAATTTAAAAATCTACAACAAATCATGCCAAATTCATAAAAAGTAATAAAAACCCAGCCTCTCCTACCTCATCTGAGCTTTAAACTGGGCCAAGAAAGCTAATAACCAAAGAAACATGGAAGTACCCAGGTCAGAACTCCCTACCCAAATACAAGTCTGGGGTGGGGCACTGCAGGGTTGGGACAGTTTGGGCAGCTCAAGCCCCGGTGTTCATCTGAATAAGAGAAGACGGTCAGGGCAAAGGTGAGAGAGCCACCCCAGGGGACAGCGGTTGTTAAGGACAAATTCTAAAAACATGGTAGGCATTTTAGCAGATGGCACAATGTCTTGGCGCTGGGCAAGGTGGCAGGTGGGCACTGGGTGGCCTCCATCAGCTGTGCTGCTCCAGGTAGGCAGACAGAAGCAGGCCGGGAGGCAGGAACTGTAGGTGCCGGTTGCTGACCTTCATCTGTCGCCGGCCCTCCAGATCCGCACCTGTGGCAGCGACAAGCAGGAATTAATGGACTCCAGCCCCTGCAGGTGGAGAGTGGGATGGAGGGGCCACAGTCCCCGGGCCCCGGGCTGGACTCAAAGACTCGAGCTGCCCTGAGTGCCTCTGACTGGACCATTTCTCAGGCGGAGACACTGAGCACACAGGCCAAGTGGACACTGTCACGTGTGTGTCACTGAGTACTTGGTCTCCTGTGGGTCTCCCGGTCTGCACGGGAGACATCTTCACAGTGCCCAGGCCCCAGGGGCGCCTCCCCTCCTGGCCAAACAGAACCAGCCTGGAACACCAGGTTGGCCCCTCCTGGAGCTGGTCTGGGAGCCCTTCTCCCTTGCCCTGGGTCCTCCAAGACCTGGACACAGCTTGACCCCTGCCAAGCAGGGCCCCACCAACCAAGCCCCTCCACCCTCAGACTGGGGAACAAAGGGAGCACAGGGGAGGAGCCACCCAGGGTTGCCAGGAAACGGTCGCAACAACTCCATGCAGGAGACGACAGGGGTGGGAAACCAGGACCACCAGGGGCACCCGGGGCTGGCAAGGGCCTGCTGTGCCCCTCCCAGGGAAGGGCTGTCCTGAGACCACCCCATTGGGCCTGGGGAGGGCACCTACAGACACAGGCTCAGCTGGGCTGGCTTTCAGGGTGCACAGTCCCTCGAAGCCAGGCTGCACACCCCGCCAGGCCCTCTCCCCTGGGCAGGAGGATGGAGGATGTCTGACCATTTGCCCAGCTCTACCCAGCAGGGGGCTGGCACACAGGGCATTTCTGAAGGCAGCATCCTAGGGCCAACCCTTTCTTGAGCCGCACCCACCCAGGACACCTTCCTGCCACCCAGGCTGCTTCCTGGCTGATCATGTGGGGTGGGGGACTGCGCACTCACTGGCCGAGATGAGGTCCATGTACTGGCAGACAGCGTGGAGCAGCAGCCTCTCGAAGCTATGGACACATGGGCAGTGAGTGGCCAGGGCAGGAGTTCCCCCCACCCTCTCTCTCTCTCTCTCTCTCTCTCTCTCACACACACACACACACACACACACACACACACACGCCCGCACACAGTTTGCTGCCCGCCACCCTGACCTGTTGTCCAGCATGGCTGTGTACACGGCCTGGGGGGACACAGAGAAGAATCCCAGCAGTCGCTCTTCCCAGGTTTCCAGTGTTTCCTGTGCAAAAATGGGGCCCAGAGCTCAAGCCACCGTGGGGCCCTGCTGCCCAAGGGCCAGAACACCCAAGACTGGAAGGTCAGAGCCCAAAGCCCTGGGTTCAAATGTTGCCTCTGACACACTCATGAAGCCACCTACTCTCCAAAGACACCAGGCACTTACACATGGACACAAGTGTCCAGCCTAGGTCTCCTGCTTAGTGAACTCCTCCTTCCCAGAGGCACCCTGTCCATCTCTGGGTCCTGCAGTGTTGATGATCACGGTCTGGATCCCACCACCTCCCACCACCTCCGTGCCCTGGGCCACAGGCCTCCCTTCATCCCATCCTCAAACGAGAAACTGATGTAGAAAAGGCCATAAAAAGTCCCGGGAGGGTCTGCGGGTGTGGCTCAGTGGCAGCGCGGGTGTGAGGCCCTGGGTTGATGGGTTGATTCTCTGCCCCAGGGAGTGAGTGGGGCAGGAGGCCGGCACCGGACACTAGGCACTCACCATGGGGATGCGGCTCCGCTTGAGGACGGCTCTCAGGCGCCGGCTGATGCGCTGGAAGCACTCCCGGGGTGTGTAGGCAGGGTCCTCTGCAGGGCCCAGGGGTGGTGATGCCAGCTGCAGGCCCCGCCCTCCCGCCAAGCCACACCCTCTCTGCCCGGGGTGGGGTCAGCTCCCCAGGGCCCGCCCCCTGGACCCAGGCCCCACCTCTCCGCCGGTCCTCCCCGCGGGCAGGCCCTCTCCTCCGGGCCCTGCTGTGGCCCTCGTCCTCCAGGTAGCGGAGCACCCGCTCCTGCTCCTCCCCGGAGCGGTTCATGAAGTCATTCCAGACCTGGAGGAGGCAGGCGGGCTCGCCCTGAGACCGTGGCCATGACTGAGGGCCTCAAGCCTGTTTCCCTGCTCAGCAAACGGACGCCGAGGGCCACGCACCAGGCAAGTCCTGCTGCAGATGCCTGGTCACTGGACTGCCCACGGATGTGTGGGCCTGAGCTGAGTGCTAGGGAAAGCCCCTGCCAGGACACCCCCGGGCGCCTGGGGGCCTGGTCTGGGGGCAGCACGGCACAAGCTAGTCCTTGATTTCAGCCTGAGGAGCAGGTGGGCTGGATGCTGGGAGCCTCCGGAGAGCGGTGGGATGCTGCCCTGTCTGAGAACCGCGAGGGAAACCGCGGGGTCTCATCAAGAGCCCAGGGGCAGGAGGAGCTTCTGCCGTGCAGTGGCCCAGGCTGGGGCGCCAAGGCGCAGCCTCACCTCCACGTAGGTCGAGTTGCTGCAGGCCTCTGCGAAGATGCCCGGCGCTGCAGAGGGCGTCAGGTCCCCATCCTCCAGGCCAGGCGGGTCCCCATGCGTCTCCAGCAGAGTCAAGAGGTGCTGGGCTGCGGGGGAGAGGCAGCCTCTGGGCTGACGGTGGCATGCAGGACCCCCATGACCACCCTTCCTATTTCCCAGCCTTTTCACTGCATTCTCCCACTGTTTCTCCCCAAATGTACCAGGACCCTCCAGCCTCCAGAGCCCTGCCTTATGGAACTCCGACACACCCTTTAGAGCCCCCAGCTCATTCTGGCCCAGCCCTGACCCTCTGGTGTGAGGGGTCGGTGCCTGGCTCTGCTTCCTGCTCTGAGGGCCCAGTGCTGAGCTCAGGGCTGGGCAGCATGCACAGCTTTCCCATCTGAGGCTGGGCTCCCCAGGAAGGTCCCCGCCCCGGCTCACTGTTCTGCAGGCGCTGTCGGCTCTTGCGCCCCTTGGCCCTGGGCACCAGGTCTGAGTTCCGCACCGCCTGGTTGATGAAGTGCTGCTTCCGCCGGGAGGCAGGCAGTCTCTTCACCTGGGAGCCAGCCAGAGCGGGCAGGCAGCCCGGGAGGGGCCTGTGGCAGGCAGGGGACCCTCAGCAACTCCCAGGCAGAGCCCACTGCACCACCACCTGCCCATCTCCCCCAGGGTGAGCAGCCCCCGCCCCCCGGGTGTAGCACCCTGGGCCCCAGTCCTCACTACCCAGGCAGGCAGTGCACCAGGACAGCAGGCAGGAAGCAGGCCTGGCCAGGCCAAGCCAGGTGGCGGCCAGGAAAAACTGCAGCCCCTCGCCCCAAGCCTGCGCGATTCTAGTTACAGGCCAGGGAGGCCCACAGCCTCGGGACCTGAATGCTAGCCCCTCTGGACACTTGACTTCACCAAGACCCCACCCTGGACAGCAAGCATTCCAGTGAGCAGCTCCCAGCAGCTCAAAGCAAGGCCAGGGCCCACCTACAATGGCCCCACAGCATCTCCCAGGAGCCAGGGCCAAGGAGTGACCCTGGGAGCTAATGGCCCTCCTCTTGAGGCACTAATTGCCAGAACAGATGAGCTATGGTGGCCAGGCCTTACGAGGGGCACAGAAGATAGAGCAGCTGTCCAGGGAGACGCTGGCCTCTGGGATGAGAAGACACAGCAGCACAGCCTGCGTGGTCAGCCCCCGACCCACCCCAGGCCCCAGGCTCAGAATTTCATGGCGCCTGCACCTGCCAAGGGTGGCCTCTGGGGTCCAGGGGACCAGGATTGACCACTTCTGACCTCCCCTGCTCACTCTGGGCCCCAGGCCCCATGGCCATTGGCCCCCAGACTGGGCAGAGCTGGCCTCACTCACAGCCCCACCTGCCACACATGGGTGCTCAAAAGAATAGCAGGACTCCATGACAGAGTCGCCAGTCCCATCAGCCCCAGTACCCAGAGTCTCCAGGACACAGATCAAACACAGGGGAATCCAGGACCTTTGGGAAAGGACACTTCTGTGGGGTCAGGAGTGCGGCCAGTGCCCACTGGGGCTACACAGGCCAAGAACCCCCAGGACGCCGTCTGTGCTCCTTAGAGAATGACCTCTGGTGAAGCGCAGAGGGCAGGTGGACACACGGCACAGCTCCTTGGAGCTCTAGCCCGTGGGGTGAGAAAGGTCCCTGTAGTCCCCTGGGGTCTGGGAGGGGCACTCAGTCAAGAGGGGCTGGACACTGCTTGGTTTCCTCCTGTGACGGGGATCTCACTCCACATGCAGCATTCCTGATGACTGCTCCCTAGACTTTCCTCCACATCGGGCTCACTTCCCGTCCCCTGATCGGCCACTCCAAGGGGCAAGTCCCCCCATATATCAGTCAGCCAAGGTACAGTCGCCATCCCAAGTCCCTCAGCTTCAAGGACACAGCAAACCAAGTCCTCAGCATGGCTGCTTGCTGGCACCCAGTGAACCCCTGGGCAGCCAGGCCACAGTCCCTTTGGCTGCCCCCCCCCCAGTCCTGGGCAACCCTGCCCAGCCCCAAGCCCCACCCTGGCAGCTGGTCAAGGCTGATAACATGCAGCAGGGCCTGCGTCACCCCCCACTTCACAGATGAGGGCTCTGAGGCCCCAGAAAGCAGGCCTCTCCAGTCCCCCCAGCAACATGTGGACGTGCGCCTGGGGCTGGCCTTGGGCCACAGCCTCCCTGTTCCCTCACCCGCCAGGTTTGCCCTGAAGGTGCCAAGGACTCCGTAGGCCCTTCCCTTGCTCCCACAGGCCTGTGGCAGACCTTGCAGCCCGAGCTGGTTCCACGGTGACCAGGGGCTCACCGCGTCTCACTGAGGGCCGAGCTGAGCACTGGACAGGTAACTCGACGTTCAGTGTCCTGGCTCAATGCCCAGAGCCACAAAAAAAAAACAAGGAAAATATAAACATTGTCCCTTGGGGCTCTGATTGAGGGGCACAGCCACTGACGCCCACCCGGGCTGCCCAGTGTGGCCAGGAGAGTCTACCCAGACGTCTGCACAAGCCCGGCCTCTCTTCCATGTCCACTCCCTGGAGAAACGGCCTGTCCCCACCTGGCTCAGCAACCCTTCTCCTGCCTCCCCAGCTGGCCCGTTTCGCCTGTTCACTGCCTGACCATGGCCTCACTGATCCCCAAGCAGGGGCCCACAGGGGGGCTCACCACGCCTTTCTTTGTCTTTTAATGCTGTTTTAGTTGCAGGTGGACACAATACCTTTATTTTGTTTGTTTATCTTTATGTGGTGCTGAGGATCAAACCCAGTGCCTCATACTTTTGAGGCAAGAGCACTGCCACTGAGTCCCTGCCCCAGCCCACCGCAACGCGCCCACACACTCAGAGGCAGCTTCTCGGCTGCCCCAGCCCCCAAGGAGACCCCTCTACAGAGGAGGAAACGGAGAGCCTGGAGTGGTATCTGGGGCTCCTCGTCGCGGCAGCCTCAGCCCAGGTGTACACTGTGGGCATTACCAACACCCAGAGGAAGACAGAGGCGAGGTGCCCGGGCAGGTGCGTTTGTAGAAACACCTGCACCCATCCCCCCCCTGGCTCCAACATTCAGTGAGGGGACCTGCTGGCAGCCACTCCCCTGGACAAAAACACTCCTTCCCGTCCCCGTTGGGAGGAACCACTTCCTCCAGCAGGAAGTGTAGGTGACTCAGCGGGTGTGGCGGGCCCCAGCACCAGCTGCAGGGCAGAGCCCCAGGCAGGTAGGCACAGGCCAGCCAGGGACTGAGGGACTGTCACGAAATGCACAGGAGTCTGCCCATCCACACCCCAGGTATCTACACCCCAGTTTTAAAAACATCCGTGGGGAGGAGCCTGGAGCCAGTGGAAGCCACAGCCCTCTCTGGATGCCAAATGCCCCCAGGAAAAAGGCCCTCTTGCCTGGAGTCCTCCCAGCGGAGATGCCAACAGTAACCAAAAGCCTTAAGATAACAAAGCAGTCCTGATGAATCCACTTAAAAGTAAGGCCCACTGTTGGGCGCAGTGGCACAGGCCAGTAATACCAGAGGCCTGGGAGGCTGAGGCAGAAGGATCACAAGTTCAAAGCCAGCCTCAGCAAAAAGTGAGGGGTGAAGAAACTCAGTGAGGACTGGGGTTGTGGCTCAGTGGTACAGCGCTCGCCTCTCGCCCGTGAGACCCTGGGTTCGATCCTCAGCACCACATAAAAGAAAGAAAGAAAGAAAATAAAGATATTGTGTCCATGTATAACTGAAAAAAAAAGAAAAGAAACTCAGTAAGAACCTGTCTCTAAATAAAATACAAAATAGAGCTGGGATGTGGCTCAGTGGTTGAGTGCCTGAGTTCAATCCCCAGGACCAAAAAAAAAAAGTAATGCCCACTAACAAGACCTTAGTAGGACCATTAAACACAGATGTCGCGGTCCAGGTAATCCCAGCTACTCAAAAGGCCAAGGAGGAGGATCAAAACTTCCAGGTCAACCCGGGTAACTGAGACCTTGTCCCCCAAAATGATGGCTGGGGCTCAGTGGTAGAGCACTTGCCTAGCAGGCACCAGACCCCGGGGTTCTTCCACACACAGAGGGGAAAATAAAATTCACAGAAAGGATACACCCATTTGCTGGGCACTTCTGGAATGTCTGGTCACTAACCCCAGTGGCTCCTGGAAGAGGCCACTGTCACTATCCCACTTTACAGACAGGGAAACCTGGACACAGAAGCGCTGACCCAGGTGGCGAGGGTAGGAGGCCGAGACAGAACCCACGCTGACCCAGGGCCCACCACACAGCAGACTTCACGGGTTTCTAGAAGGCCCGTTTCAGAGTCCAGCCCCTGGGAAAGTCCACCACACATGGTTACCGCTGCAGGCGTCCGGGTGCACTCTGCTGACAGATGGATAGGCTCCTATTGGGGGGCAGAATAAGCCCCCATCCCCACTTAATATGGGAATTCACCCAGAGGGAGACCACGAGGCTGTCGACCAGGAAGGTGGGAGCAGGTAACCCGACGGCGCAGAGAACCCGCCACACAGGTGAGCACCCAGAGCCAGCGAGACCCGTGCAGGTGGGCGAAAGCTCACCCACCCACAGCGGCCTTCCCGGCACTGGCCTCCACCTCGTTCAACTGGGCCAAAGCGGGCAGAGGACCCGGGGGGCCCGGGAGTACGTCAGGGCATAAGGTGTGTCCCCCCAGCAAACACCCAGCGAGCGGGGCAGGTGTTTCCAGGGAGCTAGCACCTGGGTGACAACAGGACCGCCACGTCTAGGAGTAAACCGCGAACCCCAGGGCAGGGACCGGAGAGGACGCGAGCTCCAGGAAGGGGGTAAGCGGGGCGGG